GAGAAATCACCCTCCAGGGGGGATGGCCACACCACAATTTCTTCTCCATTCTCCTCTCGGGATTTTGGGCACGCACGCACACATGTCAGGCGTGAGTTTTAAGCTGCTGGGTCTGGGACGCGAACCACGGCTGACTACATGGGGTACTATTACTTCTGAAGAACCAAACCTCTTACCACATCACTGAGACAGGATGAGAGGCAATTGCCAATGATCATTCTAAAACCAGAAAAACTGTGACGCAGGAAGATTTGGGAACTTGCCCAAAGACATAAATTAAAATAAATAAATAGAAATTGAGAAAGAGATAAAGCAAAAGAGGGAGAGGAGAGGGAAGAGGAGAGAGAGGGAGAGGAGAGAGAGGGAGAGGAGAGAGAGAGGGAGAGGGAGAGAGAGAGGAGAGAGAGAGGGAGAGAGAGGGAGAGGAGAGAGAGGGAGAGGGAGAGGGAGAGAGCATAGCACCTCCCAAGGGCCCGGTCAGGTTCTTCATTTTCCATCCCATCATGATTTGGGGCATGCACACACATGTACCTGGCATGTTTTTCAAACCACCAGAACCAGGATTCAAAATGTGGTCAGCCGTGAGGGCTCGGGCTCCTTCCACACAGGCCCAACCACCGGCTGGGGGCTGGCTCTGAACAGTTTCCGTAAGTGAAAGGGACGTCAGTTTGTCTCCGCGCTCGTTCTGCGGAGAAAGAAGCAAGACATTAACGCAGAGCCTGGACAAGCGCTGTTGGTGCTAACACACGGAATTTCTCTGTCTGGGTGAGCAGCGGATTCATGATGGAAACTCACTCTGTGTACTGTAAAGAGGGCGGCGGCTGAAGGTGAGAATAAACAAAGGAGAGAATAAAGGAGACAATGTTTCCTAGCCTGTCCTTTCTTTGTCCTTATCTTTTTATGTTGTTGAACATTTTCCATTTCCTTTAAAGAGAAAGTAAACATGCAGCGAATCTTACTCGTTAGGGGTCCAGTTTTAGGAGTTTTGCTAAATACGATCCTGGAGCCCCACTCAAGACCCTGAGCAGTTCGAGTCCCCGAGACGATGGAAAGTTTGACAGACTCGGCTCAGTGGCCGGCACGTTACGGGCCCACTTAACGTGGTGCTGCCTTCACACGGGAAGGCTGTCGGGTGGGCGGCGAGACCTCAGGGACGTTCGGAGGTGGCCCCAGGTGGTTGCACGTGGCAGCTGCGCTCCTGCATGAAGACGGAGGGGACTAAACCAAGCAGAACTTGGGAGTCTCGATGCTGGATGGGGGCTCCAGAGAGGGCCGGTACTGACCACGCGGGGGAGGTGAGGACAGAAACAGTGCTTCTCTTTAAAGGTTTACTTACTCATTTCTTCAGTGACGTGAGAGCGAGCAGGTGAGACCCCCAAAGGGTCGTCGTGCCACATCCATCCCCAGTATGCTCACAGCCAAGGAAGACGGAGCCAGGCCAGTGTGGTTTGGAGCTACAACCCCGGGATAAAATAGCCTACCATGATGGGCAGGGCCGTGAGCAATGGCGTTTCTGTGTCCCCACCCGGAGAGCCCACGCGCTCGGAGACCTTATTCTGAGACTCATGTTTAAGCACCTTTCCCATGAAGAAGTTACAGGACTGGCTCTGTATTTTCTGGGGAAGACTAATGCGCTAATTCAGACACCAGCGAGCAACCCTGGAACTTTCCTGCAGGTACCTGAGGGTGAGCCAGGCTGAGAAGCCGGGTTTTCTGGACGCTCCTGGAAGATAAAGGCCACAGTCCAAATCCGCATGCAGAACGGCCTTGGGTACATTTGCATCTGAGAAGACGTGGGGGCCTTGGGGCAGGCTAGAGGCTAGAGCAGCAGGACTCCCAGGGACACAGGTGCTGTCCTTCAGGGCTCCTCAGCCTCTGCACGGTCGCCATTCTGGGGCTGGGGATGCCTCTGCTGCCCTGTGCAGGATAGTTAGCAGCTGGCCGAACTCCACCCACGTCGCTGGTAGCACAGCTCTGGCAACAAACGTGTCTAGTCATGGACCAGCCGTCCCTGGGCGGGGAACAAGACTGCCTCCAGGCCGAGGGCCGCTGTTCCAGGACTCGATGGACTTCCATCTCCGGCTTCAGGGGCTCGCTCATCCCCGGTCACACTGCTCTAATCAAGTCGGTGGCCAGAGTAACCATCATGACATCGGTCCTCGTGTGCCCGAGGAGTTAGTGTCCTTTATCCAGAGGCTCTGACCGGTCCCTAAATGCCTGGCTCACCAGGGATTCAGACAAACGTGATTACCGAGAAGGGCTCTCTCTGAAGGGGCTCAGACCTGTGGAAAGGAACGCGACCTGCTTCCCTGCACCTGCAATCCCTACTTCGAATTCTGAACCCTCTTTAGCCAGCCGGTCCTGGCGGGCTCTGGCGGTCTAGGTCACCTCCCCAAACGTTCTCGTCACATTTGCTGGGGGCGTTGTCCTGGTGGTCTGTAACACCTTGCCCAGAAGCTGTCCTGGAGAAGAAAAGCCGAAACGGAATGTTTTCTCTTGGCTGAGGTCATAGCTCAGACCCCAGACTTCTAGGGCGAGTCTGGTCTAAACAAGAAGCCCTGCTTTCTGCTGTGAGATGTCCCCACTGGGAGAGAGGCCCGAGCTGCAGGCCTCAGCAAGGACACAGGTAGGTGCCGCTTCGGTCAAATGTTCTTACAATTCGGAGAACTTGGCCTCGCTAGGCTGACAGGAAAAGCAGGTCAGAGGAAATGGTGGGCAGGACCCAGGGCCACCCAGCAGTTTCCATGTTGACCACACACAGAGGGAGGCCAGACACGCCCGTATGTGTGAAAAGCCTGGTTATCTCCCTGTTGACCACACACGTACGGTTGGACGCGCCCGTATGTGTGAAATGCCTGGTTATCTCCATGTTGACCACACATGTACGGTTGGACGTGCCCGTATGTGTGAAAAGCCTGGTTGTGCGCTATGGCCGTTGCTCACATGCAGCCGTGGGACATGCAGATACTGAAACGTGGGGGAGGGAGAAAGACGTGGACGCTTGAAGAGCCATGACAGGGCGTGCTCACTGTGGGAGAGAGACACGTCTACACCGGGAGCGTATCTGCTCCCCTCCTCCCCAGTTACACACCTTACTCTGGTTAATCCTTGTCAATCTAAACGTCGTTCATACCAGGAAAGCAGGTTGCCGACGAGCAGGGCCATGGATTGGGAGAGCGCCACTTGTCCTTCGGGGAAAAAGTAACCGGGGACAAGGAAGTAGTTATTCTGGAATAATGAGGAAGGCCTGCTATATTCCTTCTTCTCTAGGAAGTTGGGCATTCATAGACTAGTGAAGGGAAGCCAGACCCTTCATGGCTGGCCACCGTTTGAGTCCCAGTCCTGGTGGCTTGAGAGACGCTCTCGGCCCATGAGCAGATCTGCCCCAAATCTCAACAGGATGAAGGACTGTGGTGTGACCATGCCCACGGGGGTGCCTTCTTCCTCTGTCTCTACCTGTCAAGAGTGCGCACCCTCAAGCCATTAGTGAAAAGGAAGCTGGGGTTTCTATTTACATGACTGGGTTCCTGGGAAACCATAGAAACAGTTGGGAGAAACGTTCTTGGACTGTGAGCTAACCCCTTGGCACCACTGAGGAGGGGGCTTGTATGTCCATGGCATGACCCCGAGGGGAGTTCGGTCTGGACCCTGGTTTCCTGACGAGTCTGCTCTAGTCTAAGTACCTTACGCACTACCTCATAGTCCCATGTCTCAAGTTCTTGGGGCTGCCAATCCTTTCATCGTGTTTGTGCTATTTTATTTCTTTACAAGGCTTGTGACTTTTATTGAGGGTTCATGTACCGTGGGCATCCCCGTGGATTCCAAAGTATAGCGTTCTGTAACATGGTGTTCTCCCTCAGCGTCCGGCTGTAAGCAGTTTTACGTAATGTGCGGGTTCGGTGGTTCCTTCCCTAACTCGGAGCGACACTCAGTCTCCTGTCATTGTCTTTGACTCATAGAGAGGGATTTTGCTTGTGGACCTAGGTTTTCCAGTCGTTTTCGGAGAGGACGATTGGAACAATTCTGGAGCTGTTTTCCTTTTGTTTGATTTGTCAGTGGGCACATTCTGGCATGTCTTTCTAGCGCCCGGGGTCAGGACAGCCGCGTGGGGTTCAGCCTCTCTAACCACCAGGTTGTGGGGTCGGGAGAGCGTTGCAGGACTCAGCCTCTCTGACCACGAGGCTGCAAGGTCAGGACAGCCACTCAGGGCTCGGCCCCCTCCCCACCAGGCCCTCCGGCTGGCCCTGGAGCTGCTTTTCCTGCGAGGAAACCCTTTCCAAGGCCCTGTCCCTTCAGGTGCTGCTCCTCTCAATACTCGCTCTCCAGAGGGCTTAGTTCAGAACGGCATCACGAGTTTCCTCGGGAAGGTGTTGAAGCCACGTCCCCAAGACTTTAGAGGTAACTTCTGTCCATTTCCCACCCAGTAGCAAACCGTTTTGCTCTCAATTTATTTTTTTTAGAGAGATTCTTGCTATAGGGTGTGTGTGCTTGCCAGAGAGACAGAAAGCGAGGAGTCATCCTCCCCAGGGGGATGGCCACACCTCACTCCCTTCTCCTCTTGGAGTTTTGGGCACAAATGCACATGTACCTGGAGTGAGTTTTGAGCTGCCGGGTCCGGGACTCGAACACGGTCAACTACGGCAGAGTCCAGTGATGTAACCATTACGCTATCTGCTGGTTCCACAATTTAATCTTTTAAAAACGGCTTTAGGTTAATTTATAGAACTGGGTGATGGTTTTTGTGCCTCGAGACCAGTCATTTTTACTTGGTTTGTGATAATATGCCCTGTGTCGATGGAGGTGTTTGTAGCGGGCGGCTCTCCGGGTGGGCAGCGCCAGCGCGCTGTGAAGGCTCCAGCGTTTCTGGTTATAAAAACGGTACGTACTCATTGTGAACAGGTGGTGGATACGGAAGCTGTGATGAGCACACGTATGTCACATTCTCATTCCAGTTTCAACACGACCCACCTACCATTACTGCCTGCTTTCTTCAGAGAGAGAAAGAGAGGTGCCCCAGCCTGGCCCCGTGCTGCGACCCGTCCCCGGGCCCCGCCGGCCTGGATCACAGCACACGTGTGTGCACCAGCATGTAGGGAGGTCCCAGGCAGGTCCCAGGCAGGAGCCCGGGCCTCCCCCACATGGTCCGGACACCACCTCACCCCCGATGCGTTCACAGTTGATACTAATGCAACGTTGGGGGTCCTCAGTTCGCAGGAACCCCGGGATGGAATGTTCTCTACTGCCAAAGCTTAGCTACTGGACGTCCCAGGCTCCCAGACTCTCCCCAGGTAGGTCTGCAGTCCTAAGTCTAACCCTGCTGCCCATGCGCCCGGTACCCGTGCAGCTCTGGGACTGTGATGAGCAAAAGCCACCAGATTTTAGTCTCTTCGGATGTTCGTGCAGATCCCTGCTCCGCCTGAAACCTGGGGTGTCTGCCGGACACTGCCTTCTTTTTTCCTTTTCTTTTTTTGGAGAGGTTTTTGCTATAGGGCACGTGCGCTGGCCAGAAAGACAGAGAGAGACAGAGACAGAAAGTGAGAAATTACCCCCCAGGGCAATGGCCATGCTGCAGTCCCCTCTCCTCCATTCTCCTCTCGGGATCTTGGGCACGCACATGTGCCTGGCGTGAGTTTAAGCCAGCGGGTCCAGGACTCGAACCGCAGTCGGCTACATGGGAGTCCAGTGACATAGCCATTATGCTAATTGCCTTCTGAAGCATCTCGGGCAGTTAATCTCTCTCAATGAGCTGGAGACACGGAGGTTGCTGCGTTCACAGCTGTGCACCTCCTGCCTCACCCTCCGCCTGCCCCGAGGCTGAGGCCAAGGCACTGAAGTGTCTGTCACCGCCCAGCACAGCCTCAGGGGCCACCGGAACCAGGTTGCTGCTCATCCACGTGCGAGCGCTTCCTCGTACAACTGTGGTGGTCCCTGGGGTGCCTTTAACATTCCATGGAGATCCTGTCACGGTCCTGACCTCTCACCTGAGCCAGCCACCACTCAGTCAAACTCCCCCATAAATAGGAAAACAACATCTTTTATTTTTTTAGTTTTTAATTTTGGCATGACTTCAGATTTGTCATAAAAGCACAAAAAACAAAAACCAAACACCTGGTCAAACACAGCTTCCAGGGCTCCTGTGGGCCCTTCCCCCAGGTTTCACCGTGGGGCACACCCGCATTCCTCGGGCTGTCACGGGTGCAGACTGTACATGTGTTGGGGACCCCACCCCCTGAAGCGGAGGTGACCCTGGAGATGCTCCCAACCATTCATTCTCTTACGTATACTTTAATCAAACCATGTTATATATAATTTACAGGCCATACAGCGTATCAACCTACATATTTTAAAGTTTTATATACGTATGTATTTATTTATGAGCGAGAAAGAGAGACAAGCTTCCTTGACAGGATCCCACACTGCGACGCACCTCCGGGCTTTCACAGCCAGCCTGGATCCAAGGACACGTTGACACCTGGGAACCGAACCTTGGTCATCCACATGTGGCTTCCACATCGCAGAACCTGCTCCTGCTGCACCGTGCAGCTGGGCCTTCACGAGCCCGTTGGCAGAGCAGAAATCCTTGGTGACACCGTAAACCCAGAGCGGTGCCACCATCACCACTGCTACTCCCAGGGGAGCCCCATCCCCGCCTGGAGTCTGTCCCCATGACCTCCGCCCTCTCCAGGCCCTGGGCAGCCACCACGCTCTGTCACTGCACGTTGCAAGTAACTTTCGGAAAGCTGTGGTAATATGTGCACAACCTAAAATTGACCATTTTTTTTGGAGAGGTTTTTTTTTTTTTTTAAATGTACCTTTTTTTTTGGTGAGGTTTTTTTTTTTTTTTTTTTTTTTTTTCTGTAGGGCGCATGCACTCGCCAGAAAGACAGAGAGACAGAAAGTGAGAAATCACCCCCCAGGGGGGATGGCCACCCCACACAATCCCTTCTCCTCCACTCTCCTCTTGGGATCTTAGGCAGGCACACACATGCGTCTGGCGTGAGTTTAAGCTACTGGGTCCAGGACTTGAACTGTGATCGACTGCATGGGAGTCCAATGATGTAGCCATTACACCATCTGATGGTCCCCAAGTAGACCATTTTAACAATTTTAATAGTTTGTTTTTATTGTGGTGAAAACCACATAACATAAAACATACCATCTTAACTGCTTTTACGTGTCCAGGTCGGTAGTGTTAAGTCTGTTTGCGTTGTTGTGAAACAATCTCCAGAACTTTTTTTTTTTTTTTGCCTTAGGGCATGTGCGCTCTCTGGGGAGGGGAAGAGACAGAGAGAGACAGTGAGAGGAAAAGTGAGATCTCACCCCTCAAGGGGGATGGCCACTCCTTAGTCCCTTCTTCTCTATTCTCTTCCTGGGACCTTGGGCATGCACACACATGTGCCAGGTGTGATTTTCAAGCCACCAGGTCTGCCACTCCACATGACTGTCCACGTGGACTTCAGCGACATAACTGCTATGCCATCTGCTGGTCCCTGCAGAACACTTTCACCTCACAAAACTGAAACTCTCTGTCTCCAAGAGGGGAGTTGCTTAATGTATACAGAGTTTCATTTTAAGCATTTTAAAAAAGAATTACTTATTTAATCTTATTATTATTATTGTTATTATTATTAGGTTGTTGAAAAAGTCATGACTTATACAAAAACATAGAAAAAATATGTCATGTGGACTAGCAGTTGGCATAATGGCTATGTCGCTGGGCTCCCATGTAGTCGACCACTGTTCGAGTCCCTGGCCCGGTGGCTTGAACTCATGCTGGGCACGTGTGCGTGCGTGCCCAAGATCCCAAGAGGAGAATGGAGGAGAAGGGATTGGCCATCTCCCCTGGGGGGTGATTTCTCGCTTTCTGTCCTTCTGTCTCTCTCTGTCTCTCTGGCAAACGCACATGCCCTATAGCAAAAACCTCTCCAAAAAAAAAAAATGTCATGACTTTTCCAATGACCTCATATTTTAAAATTTGCTAGAGTATATACGAGAGCGAGAGAGAGAGAGCAAGAGAGAGAGCAAGAGAGAGAGAGAGAGCAAGAGAGAGAGAGAGCAAGAGAGAGAGAGCAAGAGAGAGAGAGAGAGAGAGAGAGAGAGCA